CACCTGGTCACGATAGCGACGATGATGACGTGGTGGAGGTCCCCATCACCGACGCTACGGAAACCACGAACGTGTCCGGTCTGCAGCTCCTCGGGCTACACACCTCCGTCTTCGCCATGACTCGCGCCGTCGAACCAAAGAACCCGCGCCATGCCCTCACCGGCCCTCACGCTAAAGAATGGCGTGCAGCTATGGACGTCGAACTAAAAGCGCTGGAGTCCCGTGACACCTGGGTTCTCGTCGATCGTGCAGCAGTGAAGGGGAGAAGGGTGCTAAGCAGAAAATGGGTTTTTCGGCTCAAGACTAACGCTGACGGAACCATTGAGCGCTTCAAGGCACGATGGGTGGTCCGAGGCTACGACCAACGCCACGGCATCGACTTCGACTAAACCTTCGCCCCCGTCAGCCGTCACACCTCCGTCAGGATCCTACTCGCCATAGCGGCCGCTAAGCATCTGCCACTACGACAGATCGCCGTGAAAAACGCATTCCTATATGCGTTGGTGGACGCAACCATCTTCGTGGAGCAGCCACACACCTACGGAGAAGGAGATCCCAGGGTCTGCCAGCTGAAGAAATCCCTCTATGGGATCAAGCAGGCGCCTCGTCTCTGGCAGCAGCACCTGCACAAAATTCTACTCGAAATCGGCTTCAGGCAGCTGCCACACGACCCGGGAATGTACCGCCTCCACTTCAACGGCGATTACATCCTCCTCACTGATGACCTGCTCTATACTGGCACCTGCAACACTCTCCTTAACCAGTTTGAAGAAAACCTGGCGAAGCGCGTGGACATCACCATCAACCACAACGTCACTCAGTTTCTGGGCCTGAACATCACCTACGCGCCAGAAGCAATTCATCTGTCAGCTTCGAAGTACGCAGAGCAGCTGGGAGAACAATTCAACATCTCACGCGCACCACTCTCAACTCCCTACCGCAACCCCAGCACCAACTACAAACCGGACAACAAGCCTCTGTCCCCCGCGGGGCTCCAACTGTACCAGCAGCAACTGGGCTGCCTGCTGTTCGCATCTGTCACATGCCGACCCGACCTTTCGTACATCGCCAGCCAACTGGCACAGTACTCCCGCAAACCAGTGGTCGAGAACCAGCTGGACCTGGAGCGCGCCCTGCAGTACTTCATCTCCATGCCTGACATCGGGCTCTCCTACTCCACGCTGTCAACAACATCCTTCAACCTCAACGGCTACGTGGACGCTGATCATGCCGCTGACCCAGCCAATCGACGGTCCCGAACCTGCTTCGTCTTCCGCCTGGAGCCAACTGGCCCCATCTCCTGGAATTCGCAGAAGCAGGAACTGGTTGCCCTGTCATCGGCCGAAGCTGAATACATCGCCGCGACAGCAGCAGTTCGCGAAGGCCTGTACCTGCAAGAGCTGCTACAGGAGGCGAAAATCCCAACCTCGCCCACCTTTCGCCTGCACTGCGACAACCAGAGCGCGATCAAGATCGCGAACAAGCCGGGGTTCGTGAACCGCACGAAGCACATCGCACTGCGGTACTTCTTCGTCAAAGACGAAATCGACCAGGGCAAAGTTGACCTCGCTTACTGCCCAACCACCGAGATGGCAGCCGACTTCCTCACCAAATGTCTGCCACGTCAGCAGTTCAAGCACTGCTCCGACCTCACCGGAGTGGTCAAGCGAGTCAGCACCCTTCGCGTCCAGGAATGAAGGGGAGTGTTACGATATGAAGTTTTATGAGAAGGCATTCCTGTACGCTGCAGGAGCCGACTCTACCGAGTACGAAGTCGAGGAGTCAGAAGAGTCGAAGCGACACAGCAACCGAATGGTCAAGACCGATGCAGGCAGAAACATTTGAAGTGAAAAGAGCGGGAACAGGTTTGAAACTGATTCCCGCGCCGCACGGTTTGAATTTCGCTGCAATAAGGGAATGTACCCCTTAGAGTACATGGCTAGTCTAGGTCGTTTCGCATTCCTCTGTATTTCTATATAAACCCTATGTATGCATGCTATAATCAATCTCAGTCATTTACATTCACTCTGACCTGAGTTCACTACTTCCGCTGCGACACAACCTGCGATCAACCCTGAACGATCCTTTTCACTAAGTTTCACTTCTGATTGTAACAAATGCTTTAGTTGTACAACGAGGGAGCTTAGATCGGCGGGGACATGAAGTCTATGTGTGGCACGGGTTGAGCACTCTAGTCTTGGCTGGAATTCGATGCAGGGGTAACTCAGAGTTTAGGGTTCCGTGCAGAGGCTTTCATTCTATGCAATATAGTGTGTGAACTTGGTAATAAGGAATATAGAACTCTTTACCAGTTTAAAGCATATATCCCATATAGTCTTAGACTCGTTCGTTGAAAATTCTGTATTCCCTTTACAAGCAGGAGTATTTCGGAGTCGTGGCGTGCTCCAAAGATGGCGCGTACGAACCAAGGCCAGATGGAAGTGGGGGAGTATGGCGTGTGATCCTCGTCAGCCGCTTTGAAAAGGGTGGTGGTGGTGGTGATGGTCCAATGGTTTATATGACGTGGCCAAGACATCGTTTGACGTCGAGTCAAGCCCCGACCGCGTATTGGTGATTTCCAAGTTTTGGAAGAACAACCAATCAATGCGTTCCTTTGGTACTCCTCATTAGATTGAGCGAATGTGCTTGACGGATTACTGCCACGTCATTCTGTCAACCACCTCATTGGGAGCCTAGGTACACTTCAGTGTGCCATGCGTGTCAGACCCGGATGTTGAAGGAATCCGCGCCAATACAGCCTGGTGGACAGGCAGGGTGGTTTGGGCTGGGAACAAAATTCTCAACGGCTTCGGTTATCAAATGTGCGAGAAGACTTTTTCCTGGATTACCTCGATCAACCTCTCCGCTCACTGATTTGTAGCAAAGTTCAGCTAGGCAAACATTACCCTGGTCGACCTGCCTCCACAGCGTCCAGCCACAACCCTGTGTGGCTGGGCGACATAATTATTATAATTCAGTGTTTTCGTGTGAGCTTTACCGTCGTTCGGACTGTTACCAGTACGTCAGAAGTGCCGTCACGTCATGGCATCGTCAGAAAGGACCTCATTTAAGAAGCAACACCCCGTTGGTGAGTGCATTTTTTCGACTCAGCCCCGTCGAATCCGGGAACTCGTTATAATGACTCGATTTTCTTATTCGCAACCTCGTTTCAACGTCTCAATTTTCGTCCTTGACAGAGAAAAGGAAGATGGAAGCTGAAAGGATTCGCCAGAAGTATCCGGATAGAATTCCTGTACGTATTTTTATTGATAGCTTCAATATGTCAATGTTCTGTGTTATATCAACAAATGTTTGCTTATGTATGACGTATGCAGGTTATTGTTGAGAAGGCTCGCAGGAGCAAAGTACCCGACATGGACAAAAAAAAGTAGGTTCTCTCTCTCTCTCTCTCTCTCTCTCTCTCTCTCTCTCTCTCTCTCTCTCTCTCTCTCTCTCTCTCTCTCTCTCTCTCTCTCTCTCTCTCTCTCCTCTCTCTCTCTCCCTCTCTCCCCCTCTCTCTTCCTCTCCCTCTCCCTCTCTCTCGTTCACCTGCACACAAGCACGAGCACAAGTGAACACGAAGAACACGTTCCTAACTTCCCCACAACCCCTTTCCCCTGCATGTCTCGTTTCCACGAGGGCTTCCTAGTACCTTACCCTGTCTCATCACATGCTTTTGTTGTTTACATGCATCTTGGTTAACTGCTGTTACAGGTATTTGGTACCTGCGGACATTTCAATCAGCCAGTTTACAGCAGTCATTCGCAACAGAATTAAGCTTAGCCCCGAGCAAGCGATATTTCTTTTTATTGGCAACACCATGCCTCCTTCCTGTGAGTTACCGTACATGTCTGTGCAGATGTTTTGCCCTATAATCAGAGGATATTGACACATATTGTGTGTGTTTTATTTTTTTTCTCTCTTTTTTTTGCAGCTGCACTTATGTCGGCCGCCTATGAAGAGCACAAAGATGATGATGGCTTTCTCTACGTGACATATGCTGGCGAAAACACTTTCGGATAAATATAGGCCCGTGAACAGATTCGTGTACATAACCACCTTGTAATTATTGTGAAACATGAAGTACTGAAACACTAAAAGATTTATTAAATGACTAGAGCTGGTGTGTATTGATTTATTACCGTATTGATCATTGAATAATGATATACCTGAATTGAAGCACTGTAATTGTATTCTGGGAATGTCCAATTGCCCGCAGATTGGAACAAGGGGTGCGGCCTTCCCTACGCCTGGGGAGTTGCTGTTGGCGGGAACAAGGCATGGGAATCAGAAGAACTCGAGGTGCATTCAATCAGTTCGGCTGCCTGGAAAAGGTTCTCCGTACTGGCACAGCGACGCAATGTCAGCGCGGCACGCTTCCCCCAAATCTCATTCCAAGCTGGCACGGCACACACGGCCACCTGCATCGCACTGCAGAGCGTCACCTTCCAGGCTCCACCCTAGGTAGTCTCGGGAAAAGAGTTTCGTTGCTAGTTTCTACTTCTATGCTCCAAACACGTAGTCTGGCAAGCAGTTCTGAAATCGTTCTCGTTGAATTTTTGCTCGCCAAAAGCCTTTCCTCGTTTGTTCTTGCTCCGAGTCGTTTGAAGTGTTGCACCTGCCGGTATCATCGGCTCCTCTCACGAGTAAACCAGTTGCAACCCCCCCTAACCTTCGGATTCAGATTCGTCTGCCATGGGAATTTCTCGCATTGCTGAGGTACGGTGGGTTGACGGAGTTCAGTGACGCGATCCCAGTGTCAGCGTCTGCCTCTTGGTGCTTAACGACTGCAGCTGACGGCTCTTCTAGAGCGATCAACTCCTTTAACAAGGAAGGCTTCTCTCCGTTTAGCTCACTCGTCTTTGATCCTGTTTTCTTGACACTTTCTACTCCATCGTCCTCCAATCGTGGAAAATTTTCACCCGGTCGTCGTTTAACGCGGCAGTCGCTGCACCTGTCGGCAGCTGATCCGTCGCGTCGCTCAAACGTCCAGCGCAGCCATGTTGTCGGCGAGCTTCAATCGCCTGGTGGAGGCCGCCATCGTGCCGTTCGCCGAGGTGCTCACGCTCGCCGCCTTCGGCTACCTCCTCGCGCTGCCCAGCGTCAGCGTGCTCACCGACAAAGCCAGGCGCCTGCTCGGAAAGCTCGTCTTCGCGCTTTTCCTCCCATGCCTCATCTTCGCTTACCTGGGAGATACGTTGACGCTGGAGCGGATGCTGCTCTGGTGGTTCATCCCCGTTAACGTCATCATCGCTGCCGTTTCTGGATGCTTCATGGGCCTGCTGGTCGTCGCGTTTGCCCGCCCGCCGCCCCGGTTTTACCGCCTGACGATTGTCATGACAGGGATCGGCAACATCGGCAACATTCCCCTCGCTATTGTCAACTCCATTTGCAGGCGGAAGGTAGACAACCCGTTCGGATCCCCGGCCGAATGCCATCACCACGGCGTGGCGTATATAGCATTCGCTCAGTGGGTGGGAGCGTTCATCATCTATACCTTTGTATACCACATGCTAGAGCCACCGGAAGAGTTCTACGAGATCGTGTCTCCTGATACCGTCCCCGGATCTGACGCCGCTCTCCCTGACGGCTCCCTTTCTCCAACCCCCCTTTCTCCATGCGCCTCTCTGCCGATCCTCGCTCCTGGGTCGGCAGCAGCCAGTCCTTCCCTCGAACCTCAACCTGGTGGGATTTTACCATCCGTTAAGAGCCTCCTTCCAGGCTCCTGGTTCCAGTCGCGGCAGAAAAGCTCGTTACTGCGGCAGCAGGAGCATGAGCACTATCAGCGGCTGATCGCGTCACCCACTCAGTCCAGCCGTCAGCTGCTCGAGACAGAGTTCCCTAGTCTGCTGGAGGTGACTGCTCGCGCGCCGCAGATGAAAGAGCCGCTGCTGGCGCGTCTGTTCAGAAGCCTTTCCATTTCAAACGCTGAGAGATCTGTGGGTGGTGTGGTTAAGGGCCAGGCTGTGGCTAAAGCTGCTGTCGAGGCTCAAGCTGTTTCTGCCGCTGCTGCAACGAACGGCCATGTAAACGGATGTGAGGACCGGCAGGGAGAGATGACTGGGGAGAGGTTCGACGGGCAGCAGAGAGGGAGGGAGAGTGCGGTTCTGGATGCGATGGAAAGGAACGCAGCAGGCGAGGAAGGAGATATGGGTGGTCACAGCGCAAGAGTGTCATGCGATGCGCGCTCCGCCAATCCACACAGCGTGAGGTGCTCTTGTGTGTGTGGCAACTGCAAGGAGACATGCTGTGTGGGTGTGGTTGATAGCAGCTCGGCCAGACGGAGCATCAGGGGCTTGGATGCGGCGGGTGGTACAGATGCTGATGCCTGCACGTGCGGTATAACTGTAGAGCCGTGCACAGTCACAGGCTCAGGCTCACGCAGAGGGTCAGACGCAGGCAGAAGCAGGCCCAGCACAGGGACCAGCAGGAGGAGCTCAATGACTCAGAGCAGCTGTGGAGAGGAGGACGATAGCACAGAGGGGCACAAGGGGCAGAACGGTGATACCTCTGCTGCTGAAAACAATCCTTCTGCTGCTGGTGGTGCTGCTGCTGGCGCTGGTGCTGATCATCACAGTGTTGACCATGAGAAGGAGGTGCGGGAGGACGAGGACGAGGAAGGGTATGAAGACGACCGTGACTTGGAGTGTGTGCCGTGCCTCCAGGAGCCCCAGGTGGTGCGTAAGATGCGCGTCGTGGCAGAGCGCACACCCATCCGCCACCTCATGCAGCCGCCCGTCATCGCATCCCTCCTCGCCATCCTCGTCGGCGCCACCCCGCACCTTAAAGCCCTGCTCTTCGGCCCCTCCGCTCCCTTCCTCTTTGTAGTAGACAGCCTGACTATCCTTTCCGGTGCTATGATCCCCTGTATCATGCTGGTGCTTGGAGGGAACATGATCAGCGGGCCAGGGGGAGGATCGGGGCTGGGAGTGCAGACAACTGCTGCTATCAGTGTGGTGAGGCTGCTGGTATCCCCAGTGGTGGGAATGGTGGTGGTGCTGCTAGCGGAATGGATGAATTTCCTGCCTCCGAATGACAAGATGTTTCGGTTTGTGCTGCTGCTGCAACACAGCATGCCTAGTTCCATTCTGGCTGGCGCCATGGCGAGCTTGAGAGGGTATGGGGAGAAGGAGGTGTCGAGTTTGCTCTTCTGGCAGCATATACTGTCGGCGTTTTCACTCACGCTCTTCCTTGCTCTCTACCTTCACTGGCTTATTTGATGGGACTGATGGCTGCTGGTGACGGAGTTACCGGTATTTGGGGTATTGAAGGGGCACGTAGGAAGCAGAGGAGTCTTGGGTGTAATTTGAGTGAAGTGGTGTATTTTCAAGGATAGTGCCGTTCTAAGTCCATTTGCGAAAGGTTGTCAACGAGCTTACATAGTACAAGGTACTCCATGTAAACCCTTCCTGAAAAGCAATGTACATTACAACAGAAGTGTGCTGCGCTTGTCCTGTGTCCACAACGCAGCAGCATGTACAACATACCATACAGAGGAAGCACTCAAGGGGAAGGCTGAAGAAAAGCCTTCTGTCTTCCACCTATCACACCATGCCCTGAGTTTGGGACCCATACATTTCCCCCCCACTTCTGCCTTCCATCCCTACTCCCATCCCCCCAGGTCGCCCTGCGTTCCTACCCTGTCCACCTCCCCCACGCCCAGGGCCCAAGTTCCCCATTGCCCCTCTTCCCCCTACCATTCCCCCCCTTGCTCCTGCAACCCCTCTGTGTCCCCCCAGGTCACCCCATCCTCCATCCACATAGCCAGTGGGTCTCGCATTGCCTCCACCTGAACCCCAGATACCACCTCCCCCAATCCCCGCCTGTACATATCCAGCCTCCTCAAATCCTACCCGGATTAACTCTTCCTGCCCGCCCCATGATGCGCCCAAACCCATCCCCCCTGCCCTCGACCCACGTGCCCTCGTCCCCCTCTCATCTCCCCCAGCCTCCGCTCTCCTGTTTCCTCCTGTACCCGTAGCCTCCCCCATCCCGCTTCCCCAAGCCTCACCTGCCCGCCTAATCCCCCCATATCCCCCCCGATGCCCCCCTGCCTGAGTTCCCCCGCGTTTTCCATCATCTCCCCCTCCGCCTGTCCCAGTGACCTTTGTCGGCGGACGAACCAGAGGCCCGAGGGGGGAGGGGGCGCGCGCGGACGCGCGGAGATGGGGAGGTCGGGGGGATCCGGGGGCGCAAGGCGGAGCAGCTGGAGGATGGAGCGGAAGATTGATTGAATGAAGACGGCAATTATTAGCGCGACGAGCGGAAGCGCGTTGAGAAGAATCAGGAAGCGGATAAGGCGGTCCATGGAGAGTGATAAGCGGTTGTGCGTGAGTTTTTTCTGATATGGTACGAGTCAAATAGTGGATGGGGGAATCAAGGGCGTCGCGCCTGCTGCTGCTCGCGCATTTTTTCTGAACGGTACCAATGGGAGGGAGTGCGAGGGAGTGCGAGGGATTGCGAGGGGGGCCGGGAGTGCTGCTGGCTGCTTGCTAAGCGCGGTCGCCTCGTTCAACTGTGCGGTCGAATGCGGTGGACGGAGCAGAGCAATGCGAGTACCGCGAAACGCGGAATGCGCATCGTCGAGGGATGCGCGCGCTCCGTCCGCGCGTTGCGGTAAGGGAGATGTGGGAGATGTTACATGATGCTTTGCTTGGTGCCGTTTCCGCTCTGGACTGCGAAATGGGGTGAAGGCCGCGAAGCAGAGAGGAAGAAAGTGGCGATGATGGGCGAGTGGGAGGGGGAAGAGCTGGAGTGACGGTCAATCCTGGCGCCAGAGTGCGAAGCAAATCAGCCCCACTGGCATGTGCCATGGTTTCCCATAAGTTGCACACCTTATTGCATAAATGACATCGAATATCCTTGGACACTTAAAACCCGTGGGACAAGAAGGCCGAAACTGCCTCATCCTTCCTAATGTTGGTCGGGTGTCCCAAAATCGCCTGTGCTGATTCCCGAGCTCTATGACCTAGGCAAACATTCTCGACACTCCTATTGGCTCACAGGCAAATACCGTCCTAACTCCCAACCAACCTTCCTAAGCTTGAATAGCTTGGCCTGCGGGTTTTAAGTGTTATCTTGACCTTAGGTTTGTGCTTTACAAAATCTTGTGTTTGATTTTGTTATCTGCCTATTACGGTATTTGTAAAAGCGGCCTGGTGGGACTCCAGCGTCTTCTCATCAAAAGCCAACAGTCCTCAAAAATAAATAGGCAAAAAAGATGCATCCGAGCGTGGTGAAGAACACCACAATGGACTCTTGAATAGAGCATACAAATCATGATTCAAGGCAAAGCAAACTGTTGCAGAGCATATTTGCTGTGCAACCGACGCTTTTCATCCCAACCCAAATCAATGCTAAATATACAACGTGCACTATCAGTGCACAGACGCCATCCCCAACATGTCAACACGCGACCTGTAACCTTTGAGTCATTGAGGCTTTCTCCACGATCTCCATATTCAGCATCCTTGCAGTCCCAACTTCCAGCTCGAGTGGTCATTAGACAGGAGGGGGTGGAGGGGGAGTAGGGGGAGGAGGGTAAAGTGAAGGTGGAGAAGGGGGAGGGGTTGGGGGTGGGGAAGATGGTGGTGCGGGAGGAGGGTTTGGTGGAGGGGATGGGGGGGGTTGAGGTGGAGGGGATGGGGGGGGGTAGAGGCGGAGGGCTGGGGGGAGGAGAGGAGGGAGGGGCCACGGGTGGAGGTGGATTGGGGTTCCATGGCTGTGTTACTCTGCACAGGGGGGGGGGGGGATGGGGGAGGGGGGGGGGATGGGGGAGACAAAGAATGCACAAGTGAGACGAGACCATCAAAGTGCTTTTCTGGGAGCGGAGCGGGCGCCCTTGGTAGGGTGGCAGGGCAGCAGGACAAGCAGAGAAGCTTATGCAAACATGATATGGTCACATACCGGCCTCATTGCCGAGAAGAAGAAGTACGTGTGAGTGTAACACTGAGAAATGAACAGATGATTGGAGAGCAGCAGACATACCCGCACTTGGCGATCTGAGCCAGGAACGCGTCTGCTTTCGCCGCTGATATCCCGCCTTCCACAAAAGTCTTGTTGTCGGGCCGGAGAGGGGACAGAACATTCGTGGCAGTCCCGTACGCACTGCGGTAGTTGGGAAGGAGAACACGACCTCTGGACGAGGCAATGGCGATGTCTTTGAGGCTCATCTGCTGGCACGGCACGCTGTCGCTACAGTCGAAATTAATCCCTGTGGTCCCGTTTGTGAACCCCGTGACGTTCGTATACGAGATATTGAATATGCCGAGCGCCGCTGGCTTTATCGTGCACCCGCCTGGCCCGGCGTTGTTCTTGTCGCAGTAATACTGCGTGACTATAACGGAGTTCGAGCAGTCCACGATCGTGATGTTCTCGTAACGAATGTTCCACACGGCGCCCTGCCCGCCCTGATACGTCTTGATGCGCAGCCCATTGGAGAGAGACATGAGTATGCTGTTCTGCACGGTGATGTTGGAGACGCAGTTGAGCGCACCGCCGATGCCCAGGCTGCCGATGCTGATGCCGTGGCCGGCCGTGCAGAGCACGTTGCGGATGAGCACGTGGTGCACTCCGTCCTTTATTGAGATGTTGTCGTCACCTGGTGGGAGAGAAAGGGAGACGGGAGAGAGACGGTAAGGGTGTGAGGGGGTGTGCGGGCGCGAGCGTGCGTGCGCGCCCAAGTATGTGCGCGCGCGAGAGTCGGAAGGAGAGTAAGCAGGAGAGAAGTGGGAAGAACAAGGGATAACTTTGCGTGGAGAACAAGGGCAACGCACCGCCGTGGATGGAGCAGTGTTCGATTAGGGCGTAGCGCACGCGGCCGATGCTGATGGAGTCTGTGTTGGGGCTGTTGTAGGGGCTGTCTGTGGTCACGTGGTGGATCCACAGCCCCACCAGGTCCTTTATGTTCACATGAAACATTGGGGGGTTCCTGGTGTGGGGAGGGAGTAAGGGAGGAGAGAGGAAGGGAGGGAAGAGGAGAGAAGACTTTTGAGTCGACTCAAAGGGGCTATTGTAGGGGCTGTCTGTGGTCACGTGGTGTATCCACAACTAGCGAGCAGTGCATCGCACTCCATGCCGTTGCAGCGCTGGATGTACACAGCAGGTCAGGCCGGTCAGTGCTCTTCCCGGAGCGAGGAGACCTCTGTGTCAACTCGAAAGAAAGAGACCACTCTGTATCTCACGCGCTCACTTGATGGTGAGTCCGCTCATCTCCATGCCGTTGCACCGCTGGATGTACAGCAGGTCAGGCCGGTCAGTTTTCTTCCCGGAGCGGAAGCGCGACCACCACGTGGCGGCCTGCCCGTCAATGGTGCCCGAGCCCACGAGGCGCAGCCCGTCCAGGCGGTTCAGGTAGATCACGGCATCTACGCTGTAGCTGATCGCCTCGGGGATCGGGTTTGCTGCTAGCGTGCCGTCGATCTGGGGGAGTGGGGGGGGGGGGGGCGGAGGGAGAGAAGGGTGGGGGGAATAAGGTGGGGGAGGGGAAGGAAGAGCCCACGAGGCGCAGCCCGTCCAGGCGGTTCAGGTAGATCACCGAGTCCACGCTGTAGCTGATGGCCTCGGGGATCGGTTTGCTGCTAGCGTGCCGTCGATCTGAGGGGGTGGGGAGGGGTGGGGGGAAGGGTGGTTTTTGAGTCGCCTCGAAAGAAGCCCGTCCAGGCGGTTCAGGTAGATCACCGCGTCTACGCTGTAGCTGATGGCTTCCGGGATCGGGTTTGCTGCTAGCGTGCCGTCGATCTGAGGGGGATTGGGGGGAGGAGAGAGAGGTTGGGGGGATGATGTGGGGGAGGGGAAGAGGCCACGAGGCGCAGCCCGTTCAGGTAGATTACAGGAGTCTACGTTGTAGCTGATGGCCTCGGGTATGGTGTTTGCTGCTGGTGTACCGTCGATCTGGGGCCGTGGGGATGGGGAGAGAGGGTGGAGGGAAGGAAGAGAGGGAGGGGGAGAGCAGGGTGAGGTGAAGTGAAGTGGGTGGGGATGGTTGTGCATGTGTGTTTGTGGGCAGGAGTGGCACAGGCACGAGCAGGCACACAGACACACACGCACACACCGACAGCCCTACCATCAAGCATCACTATCCACACGCACCAGTACATGCCAAGCACAAGCACAAGCACAAGCACAGATAGCATAGCCCACGCACCTGGATGGTGATAGCAGCACCACTGCCGGCAGTCCCACACGGCCCCTCCATCCGAATAGCAGACGACAGCAGGAACGTGTATCCCTCCGGTAGCAGCACTGTGGCGCGCGTGCTGCTCGCAGCAGCATACGCGCACGCCGCCTTGAACGCTGCTACGATCGCGCCCGCGTCGTTGGTCCCGCCGTTGCCCTTCGCCCCGTAGGAGAGGACGTTGAAGAGACTTGGCGGGATTGGGGGGGGAGGAGGCGGAGATGGGGGCGACGGGGGAGACGGGGGGGGAGATGGGGGAGGAGGCGAGGGAGGGGGGGAAGGCGGGGGCGGAGGCGAAGGAGGGGGGGATGGAGGTGGTGGGAGAGAGGGGGGCGGGGATGGCGGAGGTGGGGGGGAAGGAGGGGGCGATGGAGGAGGGGGGGAAGGAGGCGGAAGCGGAGGGCTCGGCGGAGGCGAAGGGTTGTCTGACTTGGGGGGGCTTTTAGGCGGTTTGGGCGATTTGGGGGGTTTGGGGGACTTAGGCGGCTTTGTACTCTTAGACGGGGGCGGGGAGGGCGGCGGAGGCTGCGCGCAGTCGGGGATGGGCGTGTTGGTGCAGGTGGCGGGCGCGAAGTGGCAGGCGGGCCACGGCGCGCAGGCGGACGCGGCGGCGGTGCGGTTTCCGCTCCACGCGCACACGTCCGCCGTGCAGCGGTTGCCGTCGTCGCAGCGATCTGGGGGAAAGAGGGGCGGGAGAAGAGGGCGGAGAAGGGGGCGGAGAAGAGGGCGGAAGGGGACGAGGGCGGTAAGGAGATGGAGGGGGCGAGGGGGGAGAGGGTGCGAGGTACGTGAGGATGGGGGAAGGAGAGAGGCGAGACAAGAAAGGGAGAACCGACGACATGGTGTGGAAGTCATGGAGCGACGAGAGGCAGAGAAGGGAGGACGGGGACGACGCGGGAATGCAAAAGGGCAGTATTTGGGAGAAGAATCCTAAGGACGCACGTAAAGCGCCACATTAGGTCACGTCGCGTGCTTGCTCGTGGCGGGCACGACAGATCGCACGGCGGACCGCGTGTGCGCGGCGCGCCATGCCACGTCATCGAGCACTCACTTGGTTTGGTGGAGGAGATCCCGCACGTGGACGTTAGGAGGAACTGGCAGTTGCCGTTGAGCCCGCGCTGCCCCTGCGCCGGCGCCCACGCGTCCATCGTCGATAGCGTGCGGCTGCGGAGCCGGGTGCGGAGGGGGCCGCGGGAGGTGGGAGCGAGGGGGGCGTTGGGGAAGGGCGGAGAGGGTACGCGGAGTGGGGAGGGGACGGGGGAGTAGACAAGTGGGGAAGAGGAGGGAGGGAGGAGTGGGCGGGAGAACGGAAAGGGCAAATAGAGTGTTTTTATTTCCTACTATATTGAGAAGCCAGCAGCAAGTGACGTAAGAGGAAGGAAAAGACGGGAAGGAGCAGGGTTGTAACGCGGTGCGCGTAGCTGAGGGGTGTGCGCACCGGAAATGAGGAGGGTGATTAGTAACGATGGGCGCTTGTATCAGGCCGTGCTTGTAACGAGGATGTGCTTACAACATAGGGTTGATAGTAGTCCGCGTGAACGATTGTTTTTTGGGGTTGTAGATGCACGCCGCGGCGGACAGCAGCGTAGGAGGCGGGTTAGAACTACTCGCGAAAGGTTTAAAGCGTATGCGATTCGACTGGCGGTAGGCATGGCAGGGATGGGCGAGCGAAGACAACAGCCACGTCAGCACGAGCAACGACAGTGGCAGTCTCCTCGCGCAACACGAGAGTGACATCTTGTGATGACAGCACCCGCAGTGCACGCCGCAAAGCACGCCGCAACAAACGTTAGGCGTAGTTGCCGACTTCAGAGCTGCTTAAAAGTTACGCTACAGACGATGGGGACCTAATATCTACGGGATAAACTGCAGATGGTTATAAACATCATCCCGCGATCATACCTCGCTCTGTCGCGATGGCTCTAATCGTGAGATATCTGAGAGAATGTAACTGTCAACTGAGCTCTGATCAGTGGCGGTCGCGTTCTATTTATGTTATCGGCCATCAGCGTCGACTGCGCGATGCTTGCGTCACGAGGCCAAAATTCGGCGCAAAGGAAAGAATGACGCAATGCATGTGGGTCGCATCGCAACGCGAGTCGGAAAGAATGCGGTGGCAAGCGAATGGGATGGGACTGTATGGAATGGCGGCAGAATGAGGTAGTTGGGTTGGGTCTGAAATGTACCCTTGGCCGTCTGACTAGGGAATAGAGTCGAGTCGAGAATTGTTGAAGAGGGGAAGAAAACATGTGGGTGGGGTCAGCAGGTAAGGGTGTTTGTTGACCCCTTCGGGCAGATGGAACCGTAAGCGCGGTGCGAGACCAAGAGCAAGGGCGATGAGCAATGGGGGGAGGTGAGGGAGGGGAGGGGCGGGGAGCTCCTCGACAAGCGCAAAAACCCACTCATCCAAGCCAACAACAGTGCTTCGGTTACAGTTACAGTACACACAGACCGCGGATAGGCTGAAAAATTTGCGAGCGACGCGGGTAAGCAACGCGGTCACAAACAGAGGAAGGTACTATTCGAAAACTTGCCAAATGTGTTCTCTGGTTGTTTCATTTCTGACCAGAGAGAGGGGCGGGCAGGCTTAGGGGCAGCGGGAGGATGGGTACCCCTACGTTCTTGGTGTAGAAGGGACCAAGTTGCAGCAGCAACATCTGCGATTGTTGCGATTGCGATGGGGTCAGTGAGGAATACTGTAGCATAATTAGTTGGGGTTGAGGCGAGAGGGGCCGCGGAAAAAAATGCCGTGTTCCACACCGAACAAGAAACGGAAATGGTTAGTGTCGGTGCGATTCTTCGAACTTGAATTCAAAGTTGGCACCGCCAAACTGTTGTGGCCGAAGTGGAATGGAACTGCTGTTGTGTGATCGTTGCGCTGCGATGATGACGACAGCACAGCAATGCCGTGCTGGGAACAAACAAATTTACACCTTGTTCTCGATAATTGCACACCCCCTACTCCTTTTTTTCCTGGGTACCCTTCTCGATCTTTGACTGGATGCGACGGACACCCAGAAATTGAGGAGCTATTAGTAAACAACGAAATAGACGGAATCCTAGAAAGAAACTCGCACTTAATGGTTGTGTTCAGGCCTACAGTTCGCGAGTACGTCGGATCCTCCTCCGTGGTTTTCAACTTCTGTTGCAAACTACCCTACGAAAATGATGGACATAGGGTAAATACCCCAGGGTATGCAATTAACCCCTGTGAAATAATTTAGAACAGGATGTACAACTACAGGTGATAATCCTTGATAATCGTGTTATGTGTGCACGATGCGTTACGTGTATGCACACCATATTTCCACATTTCCCATTTGAAGCACTTTGAATGCGCTTACATAATGTAATGAACTGGGAAGTGAAGTCAGTGTACAGCAACATTAAAAAAATGTGAAGTCAGTGTACCTCAAGCAACTATTCCTTGTCCGCTGGCAAACTGTGAGAGCGTTATTGCAAGATCCATCCCCTGTACAAGCATGGGAATGACCTTTTCATATGGGCAAAGCGAGGAGAATCCTGTCTTTCCTGACGCTTGCACTCTCTGCATGCATTCTTTGAACTTCTTGTGGCATTGAACAGCCTGGACGCCTGCAGAGCAGTACCAGTAGGTGTAGGAAGAGGGGGCAAGTTGCAAACTGGAACTTTTCAACAACGCAAGCATGAAATGACAGGCATAAGCAGATAGTCACAAGCATAAAATCAGTCAAGAATGTTATACGATAAAAACTGCAGGACACAGGGCATATACTCACCAAGCACATTCAAAAGAACTGATGCCAAAATTCACGGAAAAGATTACACTTAGCTATATTGACAGGGGAAGGGTTAGAGACACACCAAACTCTCCGGCACATTTATCATGCTTCCTGCAGCAGGCGTCCAGGTCATCACATGGCGCCTCCCCCGGACAGCCCCCCCACCCCACCCCGCAGTACTTGCCGTAACGCAAACCCAAGGCTGGTGAGGGAGAGATGGGGCGAGCGGTGGAGACGGGTGAGTGTGAGAAAGTTGGGAAGGAAAGATGGGACGGCGGGAGGAAGGGAGGCGAGAGGAGGGAATGATTGGCAGCAAAAGTGAAGGCAAGACGCGGGAAGATGGAAGTCAACACGACGTAAGAGGGCAGGCTGCGCGCGCCCGTGTGTGTGTGAGAGAGAGAGAGGGGGGGAGAGAGAAAGAGAGAGAGAGCGGCGAAGAGAGAGAGAGAGGGAGAGAGAGAGAGGGGGGGGGGAGAGAGAGAGGGTTAGAGAGAGAGGAGGAGGAGGAGGAGGAGGAGGAGGAGGAGGAGGAGGAGGAGGAGGAGGAGGAGGAGGAGGAGGAGGAGGAGGAGGAGCAGGTGCGGCGAATACAGAGACAAGCACTCACTGTCACACTTGACCTCGGCGCAAGTCCGCGCACAGCTCCCCTGCTGCTGCTGGGGGGAACGACAGCACGGAATGAAAGAAGCGGGATGCGGAATTGTAACGGGAGCAGCAGAGATAAAGGTACCGGACGCTCGTACAGTTCGCTCAGAATTGTCGTCAGAATGCAAGGAGGCGATGAAAGGACGGACGGATCGAAGGAGAGGACGAAGGGCGAGTCAGGCTGATGCGGAGCCCGATACCTCTTCCTCGATTTCGCTGTAGCTCCTGTGCTGTCTGGATTGCCGATCGTCCAGGCTGACAGCACACGTCAGGATAGCGCTGGTGACGGAGAAAGCCACGAGTAGGCGGAATAAATATGACACTCGACGAGCCATGCTAGGGAATGCCACGCGTGCAGGCGCGACGCGATCAACTCGCTAATAAATCTGAGGTTTGATTTCCCTGGTGGTTCTCTCAACTGCCTACCATGACAAAACTCTCTAGAAGCCTTGGTGATCCGCTGTGAAACTGCTGCTTCTACTTGCACTGTTTGGGCCTCTCTCGTGAGGGCAGAGCGAGTGGTGGAGAGAAATGCGCAGAAGTTGCTTCGTTAGCGTTTCGCAAAACGCTTACGATGTACGGAACAAAGGCCGCCAATGATGGCTCGGACTTGCTTTCTCGGGTATTACCATGTTATATCGTTGAGTGCACAAATTGTGGTCAGCTTAGCAAAGCGAGGGATGGCGAATCTACTCTTTCGTTACATCTCGGGATGTCCCGACATAAGCCTACACGGTTGGAACTCGTTATCAATACAGATTCTCTTCTTCCTCTAATTATCGCGATAAACCTACAACTAAGCCTCCTAGCTATCTGGGACCAGGGTATTGTAGTTTTTAGGACGCGTCACAAGTAAAATATCGAGGAAGGATCAGGGTTGTTCACCGAACCTGTCAAACCGATCGCCATATCGGTGTGTCACGACTGCTTTGAAGTTTCAAGTGACACGATCGTAAAAACATGGGGCAAAATTGCCCGATGTGGACGAAATTGCACGATCGATGTGTGACAGGGGCACATCGATCGCCTGACTTAGAAGGGAAAACTGTACGTTAGCGAAAATAAACGAAAATGTGTAACCACCTAAACACCGATTCTAGGCAGGATCGAAGTTCTACTTGTGACGCGTCCTTATTCGACTTCATTCTCTTGGTATCTTCCCCTCCATCGTGTGGCCAAGGGTTGGAGGGTCCTCCGCGCGGGGTGGGGCCCTTCTTGCTGTCGTATTTCCGTCGCATACTGTCGCACACGGGCTTGCTGTCAGACCGCACGCATGGTGCTCCTGTGACTCGCTCTCCACTGACCAACTTAATCAGTATCCGGATTCTGCGCAGAGGCGCGATTCACACGCCAGTCGACGGCCGTTCACGAGTCGCGCCGATCAGATCCTACGTCGGCCAATCACGGCCTTCCGTTCGACTTTCTCGTGTCAACTTCTCATCCTTCATCGTCTACTCGTCATTTCTCCACCATGCCACGTCAGTGTCAGCAGCGCCTTGCCAGAGTGGCACTAAGCCACGTCAGCCACCTGGCCCGGCGTTGTATCCACTCCGACGCTATCGTTTCATCCTCCGTTTCCAGATCGCCCGCTTCCGCGCTTCCCGCCGCATCAGCCGCAGCCGCCAGGCTTGTCCCCAACGTCCTCCTCTCATCCGTCGATTCGTCCTCCCACTCTGATCGGACGGACCTCCACGTAGTAGGATCCAGCCGCGAGCCCTTCGTTCCCGAAGCGAGCAGCGAGGCAGCCAGCAGAACCCCCTCGGCGCATAACAGCCAAGGCAACCGCCCGCACTCCGTACCGAACCTGTCACCGAACCTCGTGCCAAACCTCCACAGCGTCCGAGCCAGAGCTATACAGATCCGAACGATTCTCTCCTGCGACAACCCCCAGGGTGCGCCCCCTCATTGCTCATCTAGAATTCTTGATCATAAACCCTTGCTTTCGCGTCCCTTCTCCTCGAGCTCCTTATTTTCCTTCACGGGCAGATCGAGTGTCACGGCAGCGGCGGCAGACCCCCCCACGGGCAGATCCGGGATCTCTGATCCGGGCAAAGAAAAGTCTGGTAGCGCGGAGAGTGGTGGTGAGGGCGGGGAGGTAGCTGGTGTGACTGTATCGAAAGAGGCGCCGGCTGATGTCGTGAAGGACATTTTTAACGACGGGATCCCAGATGAGCTGTCGGACGAGTTCTTCGAGGCAGCGAGTGCGACTATATCGGATGAGGAACTAGACAATGTGATGTTAATGAGGGATCTGACTGGCGTTCCGGGCTTGCCGCCGTTAGAAGAACTCCTAGCTGACGACGACGAGGCGAAGGCGCGCGCAGCGCGGCGGGAGGCGGAAAAGGAGAAGCAGGCAGAGATTGCGCGGCGGAGAGTGGCTTGCGTGGACGCGCTGGGGCGCGCGTACGGCACGGGGAGGCGGAAGACGAGCGTTGCGCGCGTGTGGCTGCAGAAGGGGAGCGGCGGGGTGGTGGTGAACGGGCAGCCGTTGGATGTGTACTTTCCCGATCTGGCGCAGCGCGCGGCGATGCTGGAGCCGTTCGTGGAAACGGGCACGACCGGGGTGTTTGACGTGAAGGCTACCGTGAAAGGCGGAGGCGTGTCAGGTGAGAGAAAATGCATGTAGCAGGGATGGCAGGTGAAAGAACGGCAGGTGAGGAGAATGGCATGTGTGAGGCGTAGTTTGTAACGAGGGAGGGGTTGGCCCATGTCCTCTTTGTCAACTTCCTCTACAGTCACTCCTGCTCTGTCACCTACCCTACCGCTTTTTGCTCTTTACTCTTCCCCCCCCCCCCCCCCCCTCTCTCTCTCTCTCTCTCTCTCTCTCTCTCTCTCTCTCTCTCTCTCTCTCTCTCTCTCGCTCGCTCTCTCTCTCTGCCCCGCTCCTCCCTCTGTCTTCTCCCGCCCTCTCCCCGCCTCGTTCACTCCCACCAGGTCAAGCCGGTGCCATGCGGCACGGCATCAGCCGAGCGCTGCAGCAGTTCGATCCCACATACCGCCCGGCCCTCAAGTCAGGTCAGTGAGCCTCTCCTGCACTGCCTCACCTCGTTTTGGTCCCAATATGCTATTGGCCCCAAGTGGATTTGGTTAGGCTTCTTTCTTTCTTTCTTTCTTTCTTTCTTTTCTCCCAAGCTGGCATCGATCTTGAGATTCATTGTTCTGTGTGGCACAGAAGATTGAGTTAGTGGTTAGAGCTGGGGTATATGTATTCAGCTTGGGAAGGAAAAGTAGTGGGTTGCCTAAACCAAAACTTTGAACATAATGCTTCAAGATTGTGTGAAGCAGGTTGTATCTTCTGCCATTTTCCTGGCTTATCTCATGTACTTTCTTCCCCTATCTATCCTTGCTTGCACAATGCCATGCCACCACGCTCTGACATCTCCCCTTGTCACATCACACAGCTGGTCTGCTGACGCGTGACTCACGTATGGTAGAACGCAAGAAGCCAGGCAAGGCCAAGGCAAGGAAGAGTTTCCAATGGGTCAAACGCTGAGGCCTTGATGATGGCAGGGGTAGGGCGACGGATGGGACTGCTAGGGTCGCAGTAAGCACATGTGAACTGTGCTGCAAGGGGCTCGTGGTTGAGAAATTGCCAAGGGCGTTAATATGGTAGGCTTAAACCCTAGTTTGGATGTTGCTTCTCTTGGCATGCCTACTTTTGGTGAGAAAGCGACCGGAATTTGTTTGCAGCTGCCACTAAGGGTTAACTGCAGATTGACAACCAAATTAGCAAAATAAAAGGCCTCGTCTCAATATGATTATTGAATCATATCCGAATAGTTACAAAATTATGAAGTATGGTGTCATGCTACCGCCACCATTAAGAGGTGATTTACTGTCAAAACATGACAGTACCGTAAAGAGGATGGAGCAGGTCTTCAAAATTGCACTGATCGGATGTGGCGTGTTACTATTGGGTGCTTGTTGAGATCAGTTAGCGAAGATCTCGGGATTGCAAGTAGCTCGATAATGCGGTTGTTTTCCGAGTGGGGGAAAGAAAGTTCGATGGGGTTGTTTGGGTTGCATAAAGCACGGTAGTCATATTTAGTTACGAACTCAAGTTCAATACTTATTATGTTTCGATGACTGCGGCGGGATCTGATCCACCGTGCATAAGAAACAGGGCTAGTCGAAAGAATGTAAATCAGTCTTCAGTTCTGGCCCCGAAGGCAATGCCGATGTTATTGTTCGCCACTTAGTTTTATTTCCTGGTATTTTTTGTCCACCTAGCGCCAGCCCGCGGACATCCGCCGTCGATTCAACCCAGCCTCTCTCCCCACAAATCCCATCCATTCCCCCTCTTCCCCCCACTCCTCTCCCCTTCCCCGAGGCCGCCCACCAACTCCCTTTACCTCCGCCCCCCGCTGCGCCAACCCAACCACCATTTCCACATTTGGGTATTTATTCACACATTGGCCTCCCTGCTCGTCAATTGCGTCCGCCTTCACCCTCACTCTCGCTCGCTTTCTGCTATTCATCAATTCGCCCCTTTTTCATTGGAGCCCCACCCCAGCTCAGCCCCAACCACGCCGCAAGCAATGGCGACCACGATCTTGGCCAAAGAGGTACTGTACTGTTCTGTGCGATTGATTTTTGTTTTGAAATTCACACGCTCTTTCCCATCTTTTGTTTCGTCGTCTTTGCCCGCATACTTCTGAGAGTGGTTTTGTAGATTCAACCTCCAGTTGAGGTTGACCTCGAGCCCCGATATCTCTTCGACGTCTGGCTCTCGTCTCATCTTCTGTCCCATTTAAGATGACATTTTCATCCACTAGCGATCCGCCTTCGTGGAGCCATCCCCTCTTTGCGCGCCTGCGCGTGCGCGCCATTGCAGGCGACGCCCGCGGCAGTGGCGGCGATTCAGGAGAACTTCAGCGGCGCCGTGGGGGAGGCGGAGTTTATCGACACCGTCGCGGAGAAACTGCGGGAGCACGGCTTCAATAGGTAGCGTCCCTTAAGCCGCATTGTGTGCATCGTTGCTGTGACTTTTTTTCTTTTCGTTCTTATGCTCTCTTTCGGTAACCATTCGCGATAAACGATCCCCGTCCGTCGCTCTTCGTCCGTCCCGCCTCGCCGCACCGCACCCTCCTATCGCCGTTTCTCCCTTGACCTTTCCCTCCTGTTCCAGCTTCGCTTGTACCTGCAACCCCTCTCGCCTTTTCCGCTCTCCTCGCTCTTGTGCACTTTGTCTCACCCTATCTTCTCCCCCTCTTCGTCCCTCCCCTCCACCCCATCTCCCCCACTATCCCCCCTCTTTTCCCCGCTGTTTCCCGCCACCACCAGGGACAACTGCATCGCGCTGGTGAGCACGTGTCGCGACGAGGCGTCGCGGTTCTTCGACGCGCTCGTCGACAAGCACTTCGGGCTCGTCTTCTCGCTCGGCGGCCTCGCCGGCGTGCCGCCCGGCGGCTTGCTCGCCGTGAAGGCCGGCACGTCGCACAGCCCGCAGGACGAAAATGGCCGCGAACGATGTACGTGCCTGATCGTGGATGTTCAAATGTGGGTGCTCGGATGTGGGTACTTGGACTTGCGTGCTCTGCATGAATGCAGGCGCGCTTTTGTGAATGCTGGGACTCGGACCTGGATGTTGTGAATGCCGCGCCGTGCCGTGCCGTGCCGCGCCGTGCGGTGCCGTGCCGTGCCGTGCATGCTGTGCTGTGCATGCCGTGCATGCTTTTCTCGTCACCATTTATTCCTCTTGCTTCGCCTTCTACCTCTTCCCTCCACCTCCCTCCGGACCGTTCGGCTGAGCGGAAACTCGCATTGGTCAGTCAGAGCGCAACACGCTCACAGGTCTCCTTATTCCGTTCCACCTTCCGTTTCATCTTCTCCTTCCTTGCATTTTCGTTCGTTCCTCCGTCCGCAGACGTGTTCTTCGGCTTCACGCACATTGGCGTGGACGAGCGCGGCACGGTGGGCAAGATGCGCCGGGGCGGGCGCGCGAACGTGTCGGGCGCGTGCGGCGCGCTGGCGGCGCTGACGGCGCAGTTCAGCAGCGGGGCGGCGCTGGGGGAGGCGGACGAGGAGGACATGGAGGTGTTCCTGCTTTCCAAGAAGCTGCGCGCTAAGGTCAGTCCGCGAGGGAGGGGTGGCGGGGGTGTGGGGGGAGGATATAATGGGAACGGGTATGGGGAGGGGGAGGCGGAGGGAAGGGGGAGGCGGAGGGGGAGGGGGAGGATGTGTTGGCGGAAAAGTAAGTGCTTGAGGCGCCTCTCAAAACGGGCGAGGAGGACATGAGGTGCTCCTGCTGTCAAAGAAGCTGCGCGGTATGGTCAGTCGGGAGGGGAGAAGACATGGGGATGAGGATGAAAACGGGACAAGGAAGAGGAGGGGTTCTGGGAGAGAGATGGGAGGCGTCTCAATGTGAGATGGGAGAGAGATGGGAGAACTGGGTGAGATGACAGTGTGGAAGGTTGTGTCGGGAGAGGCGAGGGCTTTCAATGGGGTGTTCCAAATAGTGATAATGCCGTGCAGATGCACTAGTTGATGGCTTGTGCCTTCACAAGAAACTCACGCCTTTTGTGTTGAACCACACTCCTCTCCACCTCACTTTATCTCCCCCCCTGACCCCCTCTCCAGGCCCGCCTTCCTGATCCCCCTTACGCACTCTCTCCACGCACCTCTGTCTCCGCTCCTCCCAACCACATTACCCTCTCCCCCCATGCACAATACCTCATACCACCCTTGTATCCATCAACAATGTTTCCACATTGATTTTGAAGCCACATCAACAATCCACCCAAACCAACCACCCCCTCTCCTCACTCCCCACTCTCTTCCCATCTCCTACCCGTCGCCCTCCCCTCCCATTGCCCTGCCCCCGCAAACCCCCAGGACCCTGAGCCCAACCTTGTAGCCGTCACCAAGGCGGCAGTCGAAGTGATCAACGAGACCCTTGAGAAGCTCATTGCCACGGCCGTGGACACATCTAAAGCGGACTATGCAGTGATCACAGGCGTGCAGATCCACTCCAACTGCCACCACGGGGCGGGGGCAGGCGAGGGAGAGGAGGGGAAGCAGGCAGCAGGCGGGAAGTTCCAGCTGAGTGAGACGGTGGAGTATATTGCACCGTCGCTGGGTTATGTGGTGGTGCAGGGGGAGAAGACGCCGCTGCGGTTGAATAAGGAGGGCTGGATGAGCTTTTTCTGGGGGTAAAAGGGGAGGGGTGCGGGCCTGCAGTGCAGGCTCCTGGAGAGGGGTAGGGAGGTGTGGAGAGGGGTGGGGAGACGGAGACTTGTCACCACTGAGGGGGACCTGGCATTGCGTTTATTGGAGTTTTGGAAGAAAGGTGTAGCTTCTATTTATGATACTAGTTAGTGAATTCTGTGGAGCAAGCTGAAAATGATCTGTGGTGCAAGGCTTATGGAGGAGGTAACACTACACGGTATCCATTGTAGTTTCCAGGTATTAGTGGCTACGTTTTTATATCCAAGCAGATACCATTCTATGCCGCCAATAGTATAATGACGATGGTTAGTGCCTTTACGCACTGACAGTACCATAACAATGATGGCAGCTTTATTATAAAAATGTCACTGATGCGATATGGCGTGACATTATTTGGTGATTGTCAGGAGATTAGGTAAAGGCCGTAACGGAAACACCCTTTGGTATTACCCGGAACCTCTTTCCTTAACAGTGCCACATTCTACCGACTACGGTAAATCACTTCAGAATGGGTGATTATTAGGAGCTGGCAAGTGAAGACCTTGGAGAGGTACACTGTAGAAAGATATCGGGTCATTTGTGGGAAGGCAATGGGCATCCATCCTTCCCAGAAAGCCTGTCCCTGAGTACCAGGTAGCCTGGTAGCATGATCATGCTCACCCCTTTTTGGTAAGGGCAGCAGCAAATTGCTAACTTCCGCATTTAGAAAGCTTGCGTTATTGTGTTTGCAATGGCAACGTGCTTCGTTTCAAATGGGCATTACAACATTCTCGTCCGGCTAAGTATACATACGGTACCTACATTACAACATGCAGTTTTTGCTAGGGTGGGTGGGTGGGAAATAATGCAGTTGAAATTTCAAATGAAGACGTGGGTGGAGGCCAAATGGCCTCCACCCCCTGCTATATGTCAGAGGTCTACTGGAGATCCCCGATGATCCTAGGGAAGGGTTACAGGCATGTCGGCCTGGGGGGCTATGGGCGCACTCACCCGCTATATAAACAAGCCCTTTTATCCCAGTGGTTAGTGGCTGAGATTCTGACATGGTATCAGAGCGAAGGTCTCGGGTTCGATTCCCGGTGTGTGCACTTCGGGCATCCCAGTGCGGGGGGGTGTCAGAGGTCCACTGGAGATCCCCGATGATCCTAGGGAAGGGTTACAGGCATGTCGGCCTGGGGGGTTATGGGCGCACTCACCCGCTATATAAACAAGCCCTTTTATCCCAGTGGTTAGTGGCTGGGATTCTGACACTATATAGTTGGCGAAGAGCGTCTAGCACTTCGCGGTTGCCATTGCTGCATTACAAGCAGCTTCGCTTTCAAAATACACATTTTTAGAAAGTGTTACACACTTTAAAAAAACTTCATATTTAGAAAGCTTGCTTTCTTGTGTTTGCAATGGCAACGTGCTTCGTTTCAAATGGGTCTTCTGAGACATGCGACGGGAGTTGTTGATCGTTTGCGAGATGACATGTGGGTGGTGGTCCGCTCGCACACGGAGCGGATGCTTGTACCGATGTTGCTGGTGATGATGTTAATCTCTGTCGTTGCATTGGATGGGGTGTCGCGCCAAGTGTAGCACAGGCGTGTTGATCAATGGGAGATGGCTGATACGTAGGCTTCTTACACGAACCCGCAACAATATGGAAGGACTCGGGCAGCGGACGTTGGTACGGTATGTTGTGTTGATGATGGGTGTGAGCTTGTACCGTACAAGTTGTACGGAATGAGCCCGACCCTTGTGGTCACAATCGTGCTCGTATCACAAAGAGTACATGAAACTTTCTGGTATCCAGATGAATCTGCCGGCGTTTAAGCCCTGCGTGGTTATTTATTTATTATTATTCTTCTTTTATTTTTCCCAATGAGTATAGGTATGATCTGCTAGAGTTGTGCACCATTTCAGACTCACCACGTTTGTGCAATCAACCAACTCAAGTGTGACCGCATCCCAACCTTGCACTGTAAGGGCTCATCATAAGGTAATTGCAAAGTATTACAAAGACTGCACAACCATTAATCTACCTTACAAATTACCCACAGACCAAAAAGGACCCACCAGCCCTCTTCCCCCTTGGGGAGCTCGCTGGCCAGCACCGCACAGGACCCACCGGTCCTCCTCCCCCCTGGGGAGCTCGCTGGCCAGCACAGGACCCACCGGTCCTCCTCCCCCCTGGGGAGCTCGCTGGCCAGCACCGCACAGGACCCACCGGTCCTCCTCCCCCCTGGGGAGCTCGCTGGCCAGCACCGCACAGGACCCACCGGTCCTCCTCCCCCCTGGGGAGCTCGCTGGCCAGCACCGCACAGGACCCACCGGTCCTCCTCCCCCCTGGGGAGCTCGCTGGCCAGCACCGCACAGGACCCACCGGTCCTCCTCCCCCCTGGGGAGCTCGCTGGCCAGCACCGCACAGGACCCACCGGTCCTCCTCCCCCCTGGGGAGCTCGCTGGCCAGCACCGCACAGGACCCACCGGTCCTCCTCCCCCCTGGGGAGCTCGCTGGCCAGCACCGCACAGGACCCACCGGTCCTCCTCCCCCCTGGGGAGCTCGCTGGCCTGCACCGCACAGGACCCACGAGTCCTTTTCTGGCTCGCGCGGGACCCCCAGGGGGTGTCCCAATCTCCCACGGGAGCGCACAGAGTTGTACCAGATGTTTGCCGTAGTTTCTCTTGGTAGATGGTCTCTGAAGGCGACGCAATGCTGTGGTAGTTGCCTCGCACCAATTTACTGCGACCAAAAATTAAGAAATAACACGACTGAAAATGAAGACAAGCCAAAAACCGAACATACGTATAAAGGAAAAAATAAATGAAGGGAACATTTGCGAAGTAACAGGTGTTCCATAGACGAATTTCAGCAACAAAAGCGCATCTGCCATGCCAGTTCGTTTCTGGCGCGCCACTGGCGATTTCGTAGCCACATGCGCCAGAGGCAATCTTGACCATTTCGGCGCCATGAGCGCCCCTGGCGCCAATTGCGCCGTTGGCGATTTCACCACGCGCGCCTGTGGCCATCTCGTCGCCACGCGCGCCTGTGGCGATTTCGTCGCCACGCGCGCCCGTGGCGATTTCGTTGCCACACGCGCCTGTGGCGATTTCGTCACCACGCGCGCCAGTGGCGCTGTCGCCCTATTAGCCCCAACATGCGCACCTATTGTAGGGACGGGTCATTTTTGAAACTCGTATTGCTAAGTCAACCGAGCTTGCCTACTATTTCTTGAGAAAAGTAAGGGACTGCGAGAAGCACCAGGTAGTCGGACGAGAATGAAATAATGCAGTTGAAATTTCAAATGAAGACGTGGGTGGAGGCCAACACCCCCTGCTATATAGTTGGCGAAGAGCGTCTAGCACTTCGCGGTTGCCATTGCTGCATTACAAGCAGCTTCGCTTTCAAAATACACATTTTTAGAAAGTGTTACACACTTTCAAAAAACTTCATTTCATTGAATTGAATAATTTGGATATGTCTCTACTGCTACGGAGGCATTCATGATGTTTTGTTATGGCAGCTCCTTCTGAATGGACTGCCGTGCTTTGGGGATGTTATTTTAATATTAATCCTAACACGGCTTTTTAGTGGATATGAAAACATACTGGTAGTACATGGGTGCGTGCACCTAAGGGCGAACTATCAAATGGTAGAAAGGTGCCGGCTTCACGTGGGGGTGTGCACCGACACAACTGTCGCGCTGTAATTGGCTATCGCTTACTTTTCCAGGGATAGGGGGATCGCCGTACGTGCAAGACCAGTGATATTTTCTTTCAGGGTACAATATACTTCCGTTACGTTCAAAGCCATTGAAAAAGTTCATTTCGGTTTCAATTATATGTTGTCGCGAAGTTGAGGATTCAACACAAGCTTCACATTAATTGCTATGCTGTGTGGACGAACCCGAAATATGCCCACAAAACAGCTGACTAGTTTGAGTATGAAGTAAAATCAACCCTGAATTTCTGCGACCAGGGCGCACTTATCCACGCCCTCTTGAGCCTTCTTGACATCTCAACTGCGCATTGCGCCCAATCTTGCTTCCGCTGCGCCTCCTGTTAAACTGTTATATGTTGGTAGGCTGTAGTGGGGTAGCCAGTATGGGGTACAACCCCAACTAGGGTTAGCTACTTGTACCCAACTGTTTCATTCAATGCACCATTCTCACGCTAGTATTCTGATATGGTATTCAGAGCAGGTGGTCCCTAGGACCATCCGATCGTTTTTTTTAGGGCCCACCACCGCACGCTGCGGTTACCGCGTTACCCCCGCGCCCTACCCTCGTAGCGCCCTCGTTGCGCTCTAGCGCCCTCGTAGCGCCCTTTGTAGCGCCCTCGTGCGCCCTGCCGACCGGCGTCCTGCCAGCCCAGAGCCCCGCGCGCCTCCCCTGCTTTGCCCGTCGCGCCGCCCGCTCTGCCCCGCGCTGCCCGTCGCGCTGCCTCGCAGCCCCGCGCACCGCCCGCTGTGCCCCGAGCCGCCCGTCGATCTGCTGCGCAGCCCCGCGACCCGCCCGCCCTGCCCCGCGCTGCTCGTCGCTCGGCTCTGCAGCCCCGCGCGCCGCCCGCTCTGCCCCGCGCAGCCCGTCGTGTTGCCTGCCTGCAGCGCCGCCTGCCTGCCGCGCTGCCCACTTGCAGAGCCGCCCGTCCGCCGCGCTGCCCGCTTGCAGCGCCGCCTGCTGCTCCCTGCCCGTGCGCAATTGCCCGCCCCTGCTGTGGTAGCTTGCGTTGCTCTGCCGTACTGTCGTTATGGCTTCCATCCGCGTGCTTTCGTTCGATGCTGAGGGCCGCCCTGTGCAGTTCACCACTTGGCTAGATGACCTGCAGCTGTTCCTCCTGAGCGATAGCAAGGAGCATGTGTCGCTCTATGATTACGCGTCTGGTGCTGCACCTGCCCCTCCTGCCACAGCAGAGCTTAGTGTTCGTTCCCACTGGCAGACTCGTGACGCAGCTGCTCGCCTAGCCATTCGCAGTCACCTGCCGTTAGCTGAGCTCGAGCATTTTGGCGACTGCAAAACCGCTAAGGCCCTGTACGACGCTGTCGTTGCCCGCTATTCCTCACCTGCCACAGCCGAGCTTAGCCGCCGTATGCTGCCTTACCTGTTCCCTGAGCTGTCCACCTTTGCTACAGTCGCCGATCTTATCACCCACCTTCGCACTAGTGACGCTCGCCTGCGTGCCGCCCTTCCCACCGAGTTCTGCGCTAAGAACCCCCCTCCACTGTACTGGACACTCCACTTTCTAGTCACCCGTCTCCCTGACACCCTTAGCTCAGTGCGCGACTATTTCCTTGCTCGCTGTCCCACTGAGCTCACTGTCGCCCTCCTAGAGGAGAAACTGCTCGCAGCCAAGAAGAGCATTGTAGCTGTAGGTGCTGCTCGTGGCGCTCCTCGCACCCCCATCTTTGAGGGGTGTTCTCCCTCTCCCCTCGCTCCCTCCTACGCTACTGCTGCTGCTGTTGACTTCCTTGGTGCTGAGTCTGCTGGCGCTGCTTCTGCTCCTGGTGGGAGGCGCCGCACCGGCAAGGGCAAGGGGGGCAAGGGTGGCGGGGGTGGCGCTGGGGGGGGAGGAGGTGGGGGAGGTGGGGGGGGAGGCGGTGCTGGAGGGAGCGGTGGCGGGAGTGCTGGTGGGAGTGGGGTCGGCAGCGGAGGCGGGGGCGGCGGAGGGAGCGGTGGCGGTGGTGGCGGCGGCGGTGGCGGCGGCGGCGGCGGTGGCGGTGGCGGCGGTGGCGGTCGGAGCGGAGGTAGTGGTGGCGGCGGAGGTCGGAGTGGAGGCACTGGCTCGGGCCAGAGCTCCCACCAGCAGCAGCGTCCCCAGACGACCCAGCAGCTTCGTGAGTGGCTTGCTCAGCGTGGGACGTCGGGGGGCAGTGGCCGCTGTTCCTATGTCATTCGCACAGGTGACCGCAAGGGACAGACGTGTGGGAGGTTCCACACCCCGTACCGCTGCTTCTCCCGCCTTGACGACGCTTGGCGTGAGGAGATGGGCGAGGATGTTGAGCGCCCCCGCTGGGCTGAGCTGATGAGGGCTGGTGTTGATATCTTTGCTCTTGACTATGATGCTATTATTGCTGCCATGTATGCATTGACTGTTAGTGCCGAGGGAGACTGTTACTTGTGTGTGCCACCTGACCCAGGTATAGAGCCCGCTGCCCTGGGTACTAGTGAGTCTGCTCTCTCTGGTCTGGTGCCCTCTGTGGCTGCTCCCTCCAGTACTGTCCCTACTGCTTGTGAGTCTGCTCTCTCAGGTACAGCACCCACAGAGACTGCTCTCTCAGGTACTGCACCGGCTGAGGCCTTGCACACCTTCACCCTTGACTCAGGTGCTTCCCGCTGTTTCTTTCGTGACAGTACTGAGCTCACTCCACTTCCTGCACCGGTCCCAGTCTCCTTGGCTGACCCCTCGGGGGGCCCAGTCCTTGCACGGTCCACCACTGTGCTCCCGTGTCCGGCGGTTCCGTCTGGCTCGTTGTCAGGTTTCCACCTCCCCTCGTTCTCGACGAACCTGGTGAGCAACGCTGTCATCCAGGATCAGTGGGTTGACACCTTTACTCCTGGAGGACAGCGTGTGGCGATCCTCACGTGCTCCAGGACTGGCCGTCACCTGGCTACGTTTACCCGTCAGCCGGGGTCGAGTCTCTACACACTGTCCACTGCGTCTCCTCAGGTCGCTGCTGTCGGTCAGGTGTCCGTGTCAGGTCTGGTAGCCCACACCTGTGAGTGTCGTTCCCTGTCGCACCAGACTCTTCTCTGGCACCACCGCCTGGGCCACCCCTCCTTGCCACGCCTCCGTGGCATGCACCGTCGCCACCTTGTGTCTGGTCTTCCCAGGTCCCTCCCTCCCCTCCCTGCCTCGCCTGCGCCGCCTTGCCTTCCTTGCATCGAGGGGCGGCAGCGCGCCGCTCCTCACTCCTCCTCGTTCCCCCCGACAGAGGCTCCTCTGCAGACCCTCCACCTGGACGTGTGGGGCCCAGCCCGCGTTCGTGGCCAGGGCGGTGAGCGGTACTTTTTGCTGGTTGTCGACGACTACTCGCGTTACACCATGGTCTTCCCCTTGCGCACCAAGGGTGAGGTCCCTGCTGTTCTGATCCCTTGGATCCGCACAGTTCGTCTCCAGCTCCGCCGCCGTTTCCGGACAGATCTTCCTGTCCTGCGTCTGCACTCTGACAGAGGTGGTGAGTTCTCCTCCGACCTCTTGAGGACCTTCTGTCAGGCGGAGGGCATCGAGCAGACCTTCACGCTTCCGGACTCCCCACAGCAGAATGGGGTTGCTGAGCGCCGCATTGGCCTGGTCATGGAGGTCGCTCGTACCTCCTTGGTCCATGCGGCGGCTCCCCATTTTCTGTGGCCGTTTGCTGTCCGGTACGCCGCGCATCAGCTCAACCTCTGGCCCCGTGTCTCCTTGCCGGAGACCTCGCCCACACTGCGTTGGACGGGGGAGGTTGGTGATGCGTCGCGCTTCCGGGTGTGGGGTGCTCGTGCCCTTGTCCGCGATACGTCCGCGGACAAGCTCTCCTCCCGCACGCTTCCCTGTGTCTTCCTTGGCTTTGTCCCTGACGCGCCTGGCTGGCAGTTTTACCACCCCACCTCGCGCCGGGTCTTCGCCTCTCAGGACGTCACCTTTGACGAGTCGGTCCCTTTTTACCGTCTCTTCCCCTACCGCACTGCCCCCCTCCCTCCCCCGCCGCTTTTCCTCGCTCCTGGTCCCCCTCCGGTAGACCCCCTTCCCCCTCAGGGTCCTGCTCCTTCAGGTGTCTCTCAGGTAGACCCTCCTCCCGTCGCTGAGTTTGTCGAGGTCACAGGTGACTCAGGTGCTGCTGCAGGTGGTGCTGCTGGGAGTGCTGAGCCTGGGGGTGCTGAGCCTGCGGGTGCTGGGCCTGGGGGTGCTGCGGCTGCGGGTGCTGGGACTGAGGGTGCTGGAGCTGAGGGTACTGTGCCTGAGAGTTCGGAGCCTGGGGGTGCTGAGCCTGGGGGTGCTGCGACTGGGGGTGCTGAGCCTGCGTGTACGGAGTCTGGGGGTGCTGAGCCTGGGGGTGCTGCGCCTGGGGGCACTGAGCCTGGGGGTACTGCGACTGAGCCTACGGAGCCTGGGGTTGCTGCGTCTGGGGGTGCTGCGGTTCGAGGTGCCGAGCAGTCTCTCACACCGCAGCAGCTTCGTGACTGGTACGTCCGGCGCTTTCGCCGTCCTCGTGGCCCTGCTGGAGTTGGAGGTTCTGGAGCTGCTCGTCCTGGAGGTGCTCGTACTGGAGGTACTGGAGCTGCCGGGACTGGCTGTTCTGGGAGCACTGAGGCTGGAGCTGCTGGAGCTGGGGACTCTGGAGCTGGCGGTGCCAGCGGAGTTGGAGCTACCGGCTCTGGGGGTGCTCTTCCTGGCGGTACTGGAGCTGCTGGAGCTGACGACACTGGAGCTGACGGTTCTGGACACGGTGGTCCTGCTGGTTCTGGAGGTGCTGGCGAGGGGAGGTCTGTCGCTGCTGGGGCCTCTGGTGCTGACGTCGCCGACTCTGGGGGTGCTGCGGCGGAGGGTGCTGGTCCTGGTGCTTCTGGTGCTGCGGGTGCTGGAGGTGCTGGCGGAGCTCCGCCGTCGCGCCTGTTCTTCGCTCCTCCGTCACCGTCGGCTTTGCCACCGCCTGACACGGTGCTTCGCCAGGTTCTTTCCCTCCCGTCTTCCACTGGCCTTCCCCTCCAGCCTGGCTCCCCCCTCCCTGCTCCTGTACCTTACACTGCACTGCCGGACTCGCTTACGGAGCGTCGTGAGCCTGTGTCTCGTCCTGCCTCGCCTGTTCGTGCTACTCGCACTGCTCGCACTGCGCGCACTGGTCCCACTGGTCGTCGTGTCGCGCGTCCGCGTCCTCCTCCTGTTCCTGGCACGCATATTATGGCCCTTCGTCCTTCCACTGGTCCACAGCGTGTCCCCCTACCGTCTCCTCCTGCGTCTTCTCTTCCTGACGTTCCCGACCCTGAGTCTGACAGTGTTCGTGCTGCCCACCCTACTGTTACGCGTCTTCTCGCCACTGTTGTCACTGACCCGTCGTTTGAGTCTTCTGCTGCGTCTGCCCTGGTCGCTGAGCTTGTCGACTTTGCTGCTGCATGTCGCCTAGACTACGCCGCCAGTCTTGTTGCTGAGTCTGAGTCTGTCTGTCCTCCGTCCGTCGGGGGTGAGTGTGCTCTTGGAACGGACGTCCTTGAGGACAGGCAGGAGGACTTTGACTCTCTTGCGGCTGCTGTACCTCATCTCGTGGCCTGGTTGCTTGCCCCTGAGGGAGACCCGGATGCACTAGACATCCCCACTCCGCGCACTTATGCAGAGGCGATCTCGGGTCCCTACTCCTCTCAGTGGCAGACAGCCATGGACGCAGAGATGGCTTCCTGGAAGTCCACAGGCACCTACGTCGACGAGGTTCCCCCTCCTGGGGCGAACATCGTCGATGGCATGTGGATTTTCAGGGTGAAGCGGCCGCCGGGTTCTCCGCCTGTCTTCAAGGCTCGTTACGTTGCTAGAGGCTTCAGTCAGCGCCAGGGGGTTGACTTCTTCCAGACCTTCTCCCCCACCCCGAAGATGACCACTCTTCGGGTTCTGCTGCACGTTGCTGCTCAGCGTGACTACGAGCTTCACTCTCTTGACTTCAGCACAGCTTTCCTGCAGGGCAGCCTGCACGAGGAGATCTGGCTGCGCCGCCCACCTGGCTTTACTGGGTCGTTTCCTCCTGGTACCCAGTGGAGCCTCCGCCGGCCAGTCTACGGTCTCCGCCAGGCGCCACGTGAGTGGCACGACACACTGAGGACTACACTTGCGGCCCTTGGGTTCGCGCCGTCTACTGCTGACCCGTCGCTGTTTCTGCGCACAGACACGTCGCTGCCGCCGTTCTACATTCTCGTGTACGTCGACGACTTGGTCTTTGCTACTGCTGACACTGAGGCACTCGCTCGTGTGAAGTCGGAGCTGCAAAAGAGACACACCTGCACTGACCTGGGTGAGCTGCGTAGCTACCTTGGCTTGCAGATCACCCGGGACAGAGCACGCCGCACCATTACCCTGACTCAGTCACACATGGTGCAGCAGGTCCTTCAGCGCTTCGGCTTCCAGTTCTCCTCACCACAGGCCACACCTCTGGCTACCAGCCACTCGCTCTCAGCTCCACCTTCGGACGAGTCCGTAGAGCCGAGTGGCCCGTACCCAGAGCTTGTAGGCTGCCTCATGTACCTGATGACTTGCACGCGACCTGACCTCGCGTACCCTCTTAGCATCCTTGCTCGTTACGTTGCGCCTGGGAGACACAGGCGAGAGCACTGGGAGGCTGCTAAGAGGGTGCTGCGTTACTTGTGCAGTACATCAGGCATGGGGCTGGTGCTTGGAGGATGCGACAGAGTTGTTCTCACTGGTCACTCGGACGCTTCTTGGGTGGACGACTTGGCTACGCAGCGGTCGTCGCACGGTTACACCTTCAGCCTTGGCTCTGGTTCTGTCTCGTGGCGGTCCACCCGCTCTTCTTCTGTTCTCAGCTCTAGTTGTGAGGCTGAGATCTACGCCACGGCCATGGCTGCACAGGAGTTACGCTGGCTCACCTACCTGCTGACTGACTTGGGAGAGCGGCCTAGTTCTCCTCCAGTTCTGTACGGCGACAACAAGGCGGCCCTTGCCTTGTGTCAGGAGCACAGACTGGAGCACAGGACGAAGCACATTGCTCTTCGCTACTTTCTTGCTCGAGAGCTGCAGCAGCGAGGTCAGCTTCGGCTTGTGTACGTGGACTCGAAGGCCAACACTGCTGATATCTTCACCAAGGCGCTCCCGCCTAGTGATCATCAGCGGCACTGTACTTCTTTAGGCCTTGTGTCCACATTCCCTCATTTGCTTACTGCTTGACTTTCTTTGTACTGTACTTTATATATATCTTTTTGCTTGCTTGCTAGGTTTTGATCACTGTGTTGCTTGTCTTATACTATATCTAGCATTGCATGTGAACTGGCCTTGTGGCCTTTGCTTGTGCTCGGAGTGTGGTGACGTTGTGATCCACCCTGGGCTTGCGTTGCTTTGCTGGACTGGTCTTGTGACCCTTTGTTCTCCCCCACTTTGCCTATGGGGGTGTGTTAAACTGTTATATGTTGGTAGGCTGTAGTGGGGTAGCCAGTATGGGGTACAACCCCAACTAGGGTTAGCTACTTGTACCCAACTGTTTCATTCAATGCACCATTCTCACGCTAGTATTTTGATACCTCCCACCACCTCACATCACAGTCCCAACCCGCCCATTCGCCACACTACCAAACCGCAGATATTCCCATGAAATCAACCCAGCCACCCCATCTATTCCCCCCCTTCCCCACCCACTCTCCTCCCCCCCCCACCCTTCCATCGCCCCCTCCCCCTCCATTCCCCCCACCTCCACTACGCCAGCCCAACCACCGCGCCCCGCCTCCGAGTATTTATTCACACATCGGCTTCCCTGTTCCTCAAAACTCATCCCCATTCACCCTCGTTTTCACTCGCTCACTGCACCAATTCGCCCCGTTTCGATTTGAGCCTCGCGCAACCACCCCGCAAGCAATGGCAGCAACGATCATGGCCAAGGAGGTACACCGTACTGTGCTCTGTTCTGTGCTCGCAGCGTACGAACGTTCTGCATTTCCCGCAGTTTGTGTGCTTTCACAGCATCTTACGTTTTTGGGTTGCGTAGCAACCTTATACATTCGTTTTCACTTTTCGGTTGGCTGACGTGAACAGTGAATTTCTCCCATCAATTATGAAAGAAATCACTATTCACGGTAACTTCCCCGAAAAAATGAAAACAAATGTTTCCAACCATTCCATAATCGTCGATAAGTACGGCGAATGGAACAATTGGACAATCGTTCTAGCACTAATGACGATACCAAATGGCCCACGAACACAAAAACAACACAGAAAATCTGTACAACGGTACCACCTAAAGACACACACATACACAAATGAGTACAAAATCGATGGTGTACAAGAACCGTCGTACATGTTCTGAGGGGAATACAAAAATGTATATTTTTAAAAGCTGTAATGCTTTTTAAAATTATGTATTTCGAAAGCGAAGCTGCCTGTAATGTAGGATTTGGCAGCGTCGAGCCGCGCTAAACGCCCGTTTTGGAGTACAAAACGTGGGCTGGAGGTCATTTCCCTCCACCCACGTCTCTCATTTTCAAACGGTTTAGCCGATTTGAAGTCTCAATTTTCACTCTCGATTTTCGTCTCCCTTTCCAAGCTGGCGAAGTTGAAGTCTCTTCCCCGTTTTCAATCTCCGTCAACTTTACTCTCGGACATCCTCGCACACAACGCATCAGCTATGGCACTTAACGGCGGCGAGGTTAATACCACTACCGCCCCCTCTCGACCCGAGTCCGGAAGAAACGCTCGCGAAATCGCGGGCGATCGCCCGAACAAGCGCCGGGCAGACGACGGGGAAAATTCCCCGACTGGCGTCGACGTCCTGCTCGGCCCGACCGAGGCACACGCCACGGGCGTCGAGGCACGCGCCCCTGGTGTGCCTCGAGCCCCTGTGGCCCCTGACGCGCCGGCCACGACAGAAGGCGCCAAATCGGCGCCAACCAGCACAGCCGGCACCCCGCGTCCGCGTCAGCGCCGCAGGCCCGCGGGCCCTGACGCGCCTGTGGGCCCTGACGCGCCTGTGGCGCCTGACGCGCAAGTGGCGAAGGGTGCCCAAGTGGCGCCAACTTTTTCTGCAGCCCAACTGCAGCAGCTTCTGTCCCTGTTACAGCAGCACGCCCCTGCTGTTACTGAAGAAATTGCTACACCGAACGCGACTTCCGTTTCTGCTAAAAGCGAAAAGGCGAAAACGGAGCCTGTCAAGCGCGCTCGCACGACAAAAACCGGAAGGGGCGAAGACACACGCGCCGCCGCCACTCCAGTCACGAACAACCCTATCGACAGCGACAACGAAGACGACGACGATGGTGAGGCACATGCCGTAAATGCCTCTTTCGCACCCGTTGAGCAACTCCCCCCACTCCCCTCACCCAATCCCACTCTAACCGCCGCCTCGTTCAAGAACGCTGCCGTGCGCGAGCAAGCCGAGGTCCTGGAACACCTGCGGGCGTACCTGAAGCATGCGGAGCACAAAGTGCGACACAATGAGCCGGAAAGCGCCCTCGAATACCTTGGCGAAGCCTTCACACTCATCAACAACCGCTTCAAGCTACTTCATGTCGCCGACTACACCAACTTCCGCACCGCAAATCGCTTCAAGCTCTACGAAGATAAGAGTGTCTTCACCTCACGTCCGTTCAAGCAGGCCGTCGCGGACGTGGCGGCCATGGAGCGCGCCCAAGGCAATTTCACTCGCACTCCACGTGGCGGAGGGCGCGGGCCCATGGCATTTGGCAACAAGCGCGGTCCCCCACTTGATGGCAATGGCAGGAGCTTTCGTGGCTCATGCTTCCGTTGTGGGCAGCCGGGCCACATGGCCAATGCTTGCCCGGAAAATGGGGGAGGAGCCCAAGGGCCGGCGCCGGTGGTGTGAACACCCTAGGGGGTGGTGCCGAGAGGCTCGAGTGAGGGTGATGGCACTAGGAAGTGCGAGGCCACTGGCCTATCCCATAGGGGATGTGAGAAAGGCCGCGGGCCTACCCCAAGGCAAGGGGTGTAGGACTAGGAGTCCTAGGTGAACATGGGATTGGAAATAATGCTTGTATGCTCTTATGAATGAGTGGAAAGGCCTAATGGGCGAAGTTGTTGGACTTGCTTGAAAAAAAAAAAAAAAAAAAAGGGAGCATGCGCTCTTGATGTATGGACCTGAAACAATAAATACCCGCATGGCATGGTGGCCTACGGTACACGCGAACTAGAGAGCGAGAGAAGGAGAGAGATAGAGAGTGTATAAAAGGGAAATTGATAAGATGTTTGGGCTATGCACCCATACAACACAAAGGAATCGTGTGCGAAGGGGGGGCAAAAGGAAACGAGATTGTGTGGGACTTGGGGTCCCACAATACCACGGGCTCACGCCATAATGCAAGACAAAGGTGGCCTGCCAATCATGGAAGGCGGCAAATGCCCATTCAAAGAGTACGCGAAAAAAAAAAAAAAAGGAGAGAGAGAGAGAGAGAGAGAGAGAGAGAGAGAGAGAGAGAGAGAGAGAGAGAGAGAGAGAGAGAGAGAGAGAGAGAGAGAGAGAGATAAAGAGAGAGATTGAGAGAGAAGAGAGAGAGAGAAGAGAGAGAGAGAGAGAGAGAGAGAGAGAGAGAGAGAGAGAGAGAGAGAGAGAGAGAGAGCTAGAGAGAGAGAGAAGAGAGATAACGCCTTGCTCAAAGACTAAGGCCAGATTCACCGAGTCGGGTGGCAAGTATCACCACTCTCACGCGATTGGTCCAAATATTCACTTGGTTTTTGCCAGGATTGGCTTCCGAGCTTCCAACCAAACCTACTGCCTGGGCTTTTGTCTGAACCTACCATTCCCGGTCGACTTCTTTGTGTAATTTGGGTCTTGGGTTTAACGAGGCATGCCCCGTGTTGCCCCCACACCCTATGGTCCAATGGCCACAGATATGCCGGGGGGTGGAACGATCGAGGGGAGTGGCCCCTACGAGTTTGCAATCACTGACAAGGTCGTCACGACCATGCGTGGGCGCCTGCGCACGACATTTCCATGGTGGAGCTCATGGTGTGAGAGTAGCTTCATACTCTCGGTAATCTCCAACGGCTATTGGATGCCATGGAAGCAGGGCCCACCTACGCCGTTCCGGCAGGACAACCACGCGGGAGCGCTAATTCATTCCACGTTCACCAAGCAAGCAATAACCGAGCTTCTCGAGAGTGGTGCGGCCGCTCCCGCCCCAGCGGAGCAACAGCTATGTATCAGCCCGCTGAATGTCGTGGTTCAAAGAGAAAAGTGCCGACTGATTCTTGACCTCCGAAGGGTGAACCAACATCTGTGTATCCCCAAATTCAAGTACGAAGGACTGAACCGGGTGGCGGAGCTCGTTCACGAAGACGACTGGATGTTCGCAGTCGATTTAAAATCGGGATACCACCACGTCGACATCCACCCTTCATGCTGGAAGTTCCTCGGGTTCCAATTCGACGGGCGCTCGTACGTTTTTCAGTCTCTACCATTTGGTCTGGCGACAGCCCCGTTCGTTTTCACGCAGCTCATCAAGCAGCTTGCCCGCCGTTGGCGGGCGCTTGGGGTGCGAGTCATCCCTTACGTCGACGACATCCTCTTTCTGTGTCGCACGGCGGCCGAAGCGAGAACCACGGGTCAGATGGTGGTGCAAGACCTCAGGAAGGCTGGACTGGTTATCAATTCTAAGAAGTCGCACCTGCAACCCACCCAGCAACTGCGGTTCTTGGGTGTCGAGTTGGATACACAACGCGGCCAGTTCTCCATTGGCCCCGAGCGGCGAGCATCATTACGCTCAACCATTCATGAATTATGCATGGCCGGCAAGGCCGAACGCAAAGCCCCGATCCGACACGTCGCCAGAGTTACCGGCATGCTCGCGTCGATGTCACTTGCCATCGGCGCAACCGCACGGGCATTCAGCCAGAACCTATTACAGACCATTCAAGATGCCCCTTCCTGGAACAGCAGAGTGCAGTTGGTCCCTGCGGTCATTGAAGAGCTCGAGTTTTGGCTGCATGAATTTGACAAGTTCAATGGCGCCCCGTTCCACGTCCCAAACAGCTACGATGCATTGATCCATGTGGACGCCAGCGCACACAGTTGGGGAGCGACACTAGATACGTTCCCAGGACGGCGAATTGAGGCGAGCGCAACCATGCCCGTGCACCTCACGAAAGCCTCCAGCACGCAACGAGAAATGGATGGAGTCCTATGGGCGCTGCAGACATTCTCGGGAAGGATCCAGAACCGACATGTC